TAAGAACACTAAATGAGTTAATGGTGCTAGAACTGTACCAGACACTTGATGAATGCCAGACAGCTATTATTCAAGGACTTAATGAATGTTTTTTCTCTCTCTCTTAATTTTAGCTTGTAATGGATTTATTTTCAGCTTTAATGTCCCTTATGTATCTACCTTTTAAGCCAAAGTTCATTGGACGTTTAAGTTAAACAGTATTGTCTTAATTATCTAATAACGCATATATCACAAGTGGATGCATTTAACGAATGGAGTTTTATTTTCTCACAGATTAGAAGGCTACAAGTCCAGATTTAAAGCAGTGGCTCTAAGGGAAGGCTTTCTCTCTCTGTCGGCTCTGGAGATAAGTCCTTGTCAGTTTAACTTCCGATTCCTTGTTCCCTGGAGATCTCCATGTGTCCTGGCATCTGTCTACCCCATCTCCTCTGCGATTTATTTAATCTCTTTTATACTAAAAGAGAGTGACTCAAAATAATACATTCTATACTAACTCTCCATCATTGACATAACAAAAGACAACCCATTCCCAAATAGGATTATAACCACAGGCATAGAGATTAGGATTGACAACACTGATTTTTTTAAGGGACATAATTCAATCCACAACAAGTATATATTAAAAAAATAACAATTTAAATCTTTATAATCGTTCAAACCATCAGTCATGTGGCTCAGCTCATCTCCATTAACTGCTGTGCATGCTCTTTCAGTACCTAGTTTTCAGCTCTCAAACAGTTCTAACTTATAGAGGAAAAATGTTTAAGTTATTGTTTAACTTACTAATTATTTTCAAAAGTCAGAGTCTAAACAAATAGTATTTACCAGCACCTTGCATGGAGTAAACCCCTTCAACCAACTTTGAAAGGAAATAATGCTGTAGATATATTGTATCTTGACCTTAGCATCCTTGGGATCATGATGAGCTGAGGTGAGGTGTAACCCCAAAAACCAAACTCACTGCCGTCAAGTCGGCTCCAACTCACAGCAACCCCTCCTTTGGTTTTTGAGGTGGTATCACTACAGAAATAGATTGCCCAACCTTCCTTCCGAGGAGTGGCTGGTAGGTTTGAACTGCCAGCCTTCTGGTTAGCAGTCAAATGCCTTAGGCACTATTCTACCAGAGCTCCCGAGGTGCAGTGTAGAAGTTACATTAAGTGTAATAATAATAGGTGGTTGATAACAGCCTATAGAGATGTCCCTGGTATAAAAGCCCCATAGGGGCTGGAACCTAGAGGTAGAATTCAGCCTTCTCTGGTGGCACAGTGGTTAAAAACATTTGGCTGCTCACCAGAATGTTGGTGGTTCGAACCTACCAGCTGCTTTGCAGAAGAAAGATGAGGCAGTCTGCTTCCATAAAGATGTACAGCCTTGGAAACCCTATGGTGCCATTCTACACCATCCTTTAGGGTCGCTATGAATTAGATGGACTTAATGGGAGTGGGTTTGGTTTGGGGTTACGTGTATTATTGAGGAATACAGTTTGTTATAGACCTTATCACCTATTGGTTTATATGCTGCTTTTTACCCACCAGCACACCAGTTTGGCCCTGGGACTTTAGGCATGAATTTCCAGCCCTTCCCAAGGCACCACTCCTTTGTAGCCCAATTTTGATCCTGCTTGTTGAATGTAGTATTTGTTTTAAGAATCTGTGACTTGGAGGAAAACACCATCACAGTAATTAGTAATACTTTTAAAACTTATGAAGCAGTTGTTACATGTCTGACACTAATTTATTCTTCAACAGAATAAAACAGTGTGGTAGCTACTGTTATAATCTCCAAAGTCTAGAGAATACTAGCATACCTCTAAAAGATCTTATTGCACTAATGGAATGGAAGAAATCTGATGAATTATCTTAAATTTATATAGTGATTTTAATGACTTTAAATGGAGCTATTATAATGATGGAGATACTAATTTCTTTTAACTTACTGCCAGGTTATATGGCAGTATTTCATTTGCCTTTTTCCATTATATTTTGGGTCATGGTTCATGGTGCCATTTTTTTTTTTTTTAATGGAAAAATGTGAGTAGTTAAATTGTACCTCCAAGACTATGGTTCCTAGGGACCCTTCAGGCCTGGAATTGAACTCACTCCCAGTGGCTTCCAGCTAAACAGTAGACAGGCATATAGGGTGAATATTTACACTAGGTAGGTACACACTCCTTAGAACAACCAACCATGGGAGACCAGAAGGGCGGTATCTGCATCAGGAGATAGCTCAGAGGGCAGGTATGCAAAAGAAAGAAGGACAAAGGGAAAGGGTAACCAGAGGAAGAAGTGGGAAGAGAGTTGTTACGTTGTGGGGAATTGCAGTCAGTGTCATAAAACAAACTGTGTGTGAGCTGCTGTATGGAAAATGAATTTGTTCTGTAAACTTTCACTCAAATCACAATAAAAAAATTTTTTTACATATGTACAATGGAATACTATGCAACCCTAAACAATAATGTAGAATCTGCAAAACACTGTATAACGTGGATGAATTTGGAGGACATTATGCTGAGTGAAATAAGTCAATCACAAAAGGACAAATATTGTATTAGTCCATTATTGTAAAAGTCAAGGAAATGTTTATCTATGGATGGACAAAAAAAAAAAAAAAGTTTATGAGTGGCCATCTAAGATACAACTTTTGATCTTTTACCTACTGGAGCAAAGGAGAGTGAAGGAAACCAAAGACTTAAGGAAGCAATTAATCCACAAGACAGTTGTTGTTGTGTGCTGTCAAGTCAGCACCAACTCATAGTGACCCCTCCTTGGGTTGCCGAGGCACTATCACTGCAGAAGTAGATTGCCCAACCTTCCTTCCGAGGAGTGGCCGGTGGGTTTGAACTGCCAACCTTCTGGTTAGCAGTCAAGTGCCTTAGGCACTATGCTACCAGAGCTCCTAGTCCACAATACTAATGGCCCCGCGAACCACACCCTCCTCTGGCCTGAAAGCAAAGCACTAGATAGTGTCAGGCTACTGGCCGCTCTGACCAAGGACACAATAGATGGCCCTAGTTAGAATGGGAGAGAAATAGAGAGCAAAACGCAAATTCCTGACAAAGACCAGACTGATAGAGACTGAAGGAACCCCCCAAGACTGTCGCCCTGGTACACCTTTTTAACCTGGAACTGAAGCCACTCCTAGAGGTCATTTTCAGCCAGGTAGATTAGTCTGTAAAATAAACAACACTTCGGAGAAATGCGATCCTTAGAACAATCAACTTTATGAGACCAAATGGACATTTGCTCAAAAGCACAGAGGAGAAGGCAGGGAGGGGCAGGAAAAGTGGAGAGTGGAAATGAATAGGGCAAGGAGGAAATTGGGAGAGGGCTGGTACATTGTGGGGGTAGCAACCAGTGCCATAGGGCAATTTGTGTATGAATTGTTGAATGAGAAATGAATTTGATCTATAAACTTTCACCTAAAACACAATAAAATGATTTAAAAAAACCGAATAAATAAATAAATTGTATTTGATGCTTAGATGTGATAAAAATGTAAATGATACTAAATGCTCATCATTTCCTGCTTGTGAAGGTGACAGTATCATGGTGGTAGGGTGTTTATGGAATCATTTATAAGATTTATTGTAGTAAATGAAAGAGGTGTGGTGTCTTTCAGATTCAGTACAGTGTCTTACTCAGACTTTTGATATTTTTGAAACAATTCTTTTTTAAAAATTTTAAATTAAATGAATACTTTTTCATTTGAGTGAAATTTTTTGTACTTGGATATTATTCTTGGGTTTTTGTTCAGTATCTTTTTTTTTAGTTTAGTATTTTTCTCCTTGAAATTCATTAAGCTCTGTTACTTAGTTTTATACATATAGCTATTTCTTAGTATAGTCTGTTTCATCAAAGCACTGTTGCTATTCTTCATCAGTAATTGGTAAACTTAGAAAGCTTCCTAATGCCCAGAACTTAATGCCTTTTACTTTAAGAATAGCACGCATACTAATTAGCATCAAAATTGGTAGTACGCAGAAATGTCAAATCCATCCTAGGAGTTATGCTTTTACTTCTAATTACTAATTAGTGAGTGCCCTGCCTCCTGTCATCCTATTATGCATTAAATTACATCTGTAATGAATCTTAGAGTAATTGAAAAGGAATGATAGGAAATTTCAAAGAAATGGCATTTGCTTCCAGTACTGAACTTAATAAAGTATTGCCATCTTAAGGTTCTTTAGGGACTTATTTTTTTGTAAGTCAAGAAGAATCATCCCTTTCCTTGTAATTAATGCTACTGAAATGCTTAAAATGTGTTTAAATTTTAGAGAAAATTGCCTTCAATGTTATTTATGCTTTTAATTGTCATTAAATATGAAAAAGTGGTTAGCTGAGACACCACTGTGTTTCTGACATACTTATAAAAATTTCATGAGATTTTATTTTATTTCTCAGATTTTGTAAGGAGATCTATAGGGAAAGAGTTAAATATAGCAAGAGAAAGAAGCTACACTTTACATTAATCAGGGTAGTTAACTAGTTTTTTTGTTTTGTTTTGTTTTTTTTCTGGAGACTAGATTTACTGAAGAGATCTCACTTTAAGTTAGTTTCAGTAAATGGAACTAATTTGAGGAGTTGATCCCTTGTGAGTTCTTGGGATTCCTAAGCCATTATGTACAAACTATATGAGAAAGACAAAAAATTAAGATATGTAACTACAGTGTCCTGTTTCTGATTTGTACTGATGAACATCCAAAAGAAGATAGTAATGATTGAAGGTTGTCCAAAAGAGGAGAAATTCCAGATTTTTTTTTTTTTTTATTTCAGGAGGTACCATTAGAAACTGGAAGGGGAGAGTGGTGAAGGAAGTTAAAAATAGAGTTAGGTAGGACAGTCGGGTAGGGTGGAAAGAGGAAGGAAACTGGTTAGAAGCAGATTTTAGCTCAAAATAAGAGATATTTCTAACCAGTATCAAATTATACAACAAAAGTATAAACTACTTCATGAGGTGCTGAGCCTCTCCATCTCTACATTTATTTTCTTTTTAAAATATAGGTTGAAGAAGGAGCTAAAAATATACGGCTGGGTGCACTAATTGGTTTGATGGTTGAAGAAGGACAAGATTGGAAGCAGGTTGAAATTCCCAAAGATGTAGGTCCTCCCTCACCAGCTGCAAAACTTTCAGTGCCTCCCCCTCCACCGGAACCACAGATTTCTGTCCCCGTCAAAAAGGAACACACACCAGGGAAACTTCAGTGAGTATGTTTATTTGAATGATTAAAAAAAAAGAAGAAGAAGAAGAGTGAGAGATGGCAGCCACTAGGGTATTTTAATCATTATCATGAAGTAGAAAGGAGACTGAAGCCTAGAAATGATTATTTTACTATTGTTTATTCAACAAAGAAAGTTATTGAAAACCTGGTATGTTCCATCTACTGTGAAAGCCTTGTTGAGCCAGTAGAGAATAAAAGTCTTGGGCACATTGACCTTGAATTAGGTTTCGGGAGTCTAGAATGGCATACGAGATACCGAACTTTGCGCTGTGTTCCATTCATAGAATTCCCCTTAATGTGAGTTCCAGTTTCAAATGTATAACTGATACAAAATGCAGTTAGCATGTTAACATCTATTCATTGTAAAGCTATTCTTCATTTGGATTTCTGACACAAATAAGAGCTCACTTTTTCCCCAGGTGCATCTGTATCTAACATAGGTACTTTTTAAATATAGTTTTAGAAGATAGCTTTAGTTGATAGACTCCACAAATTTCCAACACAGATTTTTATTTATTTTAATACTTTATGTAATTTTACAAAATTTCTTTTTCTTTATAAGAATAGTTATTCATAGAGAAAAGATCCTAGTAAGAAGTTCTTTTGAACTTAACTACATAATGTATACCATTTCATTCGTATGTATAATTTTTTTTGTTATTGTCAGTTTTTAAGTTTACAGTATTTTTTAAGTTCTGATTTAAAAATTCCCTTTATATCTGACTCCACTGCCTTTACTCCTCCTTCCTTTTCTTTATTACCATGAAAATCAGATGACCTGTATGTCAGTATTCTCACTAATGTTTAATATCTAATGATTTTCTCCCCTTGCAAATAACTAATTAAAAAGAGAGGCCCAGATGTCAATAGATACATTGACATCCATGTTCATCACACCGGCATAGTGCCTAAGGCATTTGACTGCTAACCAGAAGGCTGGTGGTTCAAACCCACCAGCCACTCCTCAGGAGGAAGATTGGCAGTCTACTTCTGTAGAGATACCGCCTCGGAAACCCAAAGAGGAGTCGCTATGAGTTGGAATCAACTTGACGGCAGTGAGTTGTGTTTTTTTTTTTTTTAATGTTCATCACAGCATTATTCACAATTGCACAGAGATGGAAGCAACCTAAGCATCCATTAACAGATGAATGGATAACCAAAATACAGTATATATACATAGTAGAATACTATGAAACATTAAAGAATAACAAAGAACCCATCAAACACCTTACAACGTGGATGACCATGGAAGACATTAAGCTGAATGAAATAAGTCAGGCACAGAAGGACAGATACTATATGAGTCCACTATTACAAAAAGTCAAGGAAAGGTTTACACATGGAAGGAAACATTCTTCCTTGGTTAGCAGGGATGGGAAGGAAAGGAAAGGAATAATGATAGCTAGGTGAGAGACACATAATGATTTGGGTAAAGGGAAAGACAGTATACCAAAAGTGAGTGACCAGCACAATACCACTAAGGAAAAGGAAGACATGGATAGATAAAAAAAGAAAGACACAGGGAAAAGGTAACCATAGGGAAGAAGTTGGAAGAGAGTTGTTATAGGGATTTTGTCATGAAACAAAATGTGTGAATGGAATGTGTGAATGGAAAACAAACATGATCTGTAAACTTTTCACCCAGATAACAATAAAAAGTTAAAAAAAAAAAAAGAGGGAGAGAGAGGCCCAAGTATCATTATGTAAATGAACTTCCCTACTGTCAGCAATCCTGGATGATAGTGTATATGCTGTTATTCTTCTAAAATCTGTCATCGTTAGAGACCTTGCATGGGTCTGAGGCCCCAGGGTATGGGTTAAAAATCTCCTGACCCGTTATCATTAGTCTGCAGAGTCCTGGCCCACACAGAGTTCTTGGTTTCTTTCTCTTTTTTTTCCATTTGAATTGGCTGCTAGTTAATTTCATATAAATATCTCAACTTTTTGGTTTTCTTGAAAAATCTAAGTGTCTGGCTATTCTGGGTCTGTGTCAGCTGGAGCTCAGGATTTTCCTGAAATGTGGCAAGTGCCCCAGTTGCCGCTCCCCATTTACTAGCTTTAAACTTCTGAACCCAGCTTGTTTTACTCATTTTGCTTCACCTGACTATGTGGGTGATTAATTTTACTGCTTTGCTTTAACATCTTAATGGGAAAGTGGACACTTACTGGCCATGTAACCCTGGATGTGCTTTTCCTTACCTATGAAATCACTATAGTTTCTGCCTTGCTAACACTTCCAGAGCCTCTGTAAAGTGCAAGTGCTTTTATGTAAATACCAAGAACTTTAAAAATACATGAAGTTTTTTTATTGCTAATTGTGTGATGAGTAGCCATGTAAAAAAGAATTAGTCAAAATATAAACTCTCTCCCTTAATGAATACTTACTTTTATTAAAAAGAATATTTTTGAAACAATAACTAGTTATATTTTTATAAAGGTACTTTGGCAGTAAACCAGATTAATAAAGATTGATTTATTTGACTGTGACCATCTGTGGGAGTCATTTTAACCCTATTATAAGATTTTCTTTTTTCTAATTACCAGCAAAACTGTTGACATTTAGATCTATTTGAATCACAGAGAAGCACTAATTGGTTTCATTAATCTCTGTTTCCTTCTTAGGTTCCGTTTAAGTCCAGCAGCACGTAATATTGTGGATAAATATGCACTTGACCCTAGCCAAGGCACAGCGACTGGTCCTCGGGGAATATTCACTAAAGAGTATGTGTGTGTTTTTTCTAATAACTAATTCCATGATCATCTTTTTCTGAAAGTATTTAAAGAAGAGATTATTTTGTGTTAAGATTTAAAAGAAAGTACACTGTTCTTTTGTGCTTTTACTTGCTTTAATCAGTGTAAATTTGTATTCTATGCAAAGTTTGTTTAGTAAATAATTGCAGCACTACTGAAGAACAGTTCTAATTTGGTAACTGAACTGGATCTTTAGGAATGGTGATAAATGCAGAATATTGGAATGCAGAACAGTGGAACTTTATATTGTTTTAAGTTTATGTGAAAGAATTATGCAGTCACATTTAATTTTATGAAACATGTAGGGTCTTTTTTTTCCTTGGATGACTAGTATATTTCTGAAAAATATGCTCTGTCCTATCCAGTGTGCCACACATCACATGCATCAGTATATGCTGTATGCTATCAGAGATCAGGAAGAATAGATGGGCAGACCAGTAAGCAGAAGTACAGTGAGGCTGTAGTGCTCAAAGTACTTCTGATGTTTCAGCCCAGTGGTATATCAAGGGCATTGGGTTTATGTTAATGGTGGTGAAATAATTCAGAAAAGGATAGTAATGGTGGGTGCACAACATGACGACTGTAACCAGTGTCCCTGAATTGCACGTGTAGAAATTACTGCATTAGTGAATATCTTATTATGTATATTTTTACCACAATAAAGAAAATTATATCAGGAAAAAAAAATGTCAAGTAAGATGGGAACTGTGAAAAGGCTTTTGATTTTTGTGATTAAGTGACCTTTAGAAGGCGGTTCAGTAGAGTGGCGGCAGTGGAGAGAAGTAGAGCTCTCTTATACATACATAATGAGCATGAGTTGAAGAGTTACATTTGTTTGCACTGTAACATTTCCTGAGGAGAATAAAAAGATATTATTTTTGCAGATACCCTAGGGAAGCAGTATTATAAGAGTTAAATATTTTATATTCTTTCCATTTTTCTTTCGTCCCAATCTCTTCCTTCCCTCATTTCTGAATGTCCCCCCTCCCCACCATAAGCAATTCAGTCTTTGAATCTGAATCTTCAAAATATGAAAATTACAAAAATGTTACATGAGAAAAATAGATCCATAAAGCATGCATTATTGAGGGCTTTTGACTTTAGAGATGACTGTGTTTTAAGTTGAACATGATGATGGCCTTTGGAAGAAATTATGGCCTGTTGTCATCTATGGGAATGTCTTCTTCTGATTTGGTTGAAAATGTGCAGGCTTTGGCATAAGCTGCCCTCAAAATATCTTAGCACACATTCTTGAAATAGTGATGGACAGTCTTCCTCCACACCTTGTGAACTGATAGTACAAGCTGAGCAGACAACTCTGTTCCAGATGCTGAGATCCATTGTATTTATGAAGAAAATCACAAGTGTCCAGGTTGCTACTTCAGTTTTGCATAAAAGTACAGATATTGCTCAGAATATATGTTGTTTAAAAACATTTGTAGTTGACTTTGCCTGTACATGAAAGAGAAATACACATGACTGTTTTAAGGATGCGTGTGCCAGGTCTAGGGTTAGAGGCAGAACACATTTAGATCTTTGCCTGTAGTCCCCACATCTTTGGTATAGCTACATATTAAATCATAGTTGTAATTAGTTGTCGTACTCATAGCAGAGCATCAAAAAACTAGTAGGTATGGTAGGCAGGTTTATAGTTATGTTTTTAGTGATATTTCTTTTCAAAACTAACTCATGACATGCATTATGAAAAATATAATACAACCAATTTCACTGAACAATTCGTATAGAAATTGTTAAATGAAGCAAGTAGCTGAATAAGCCTTCACCAAAAACACAATAAAATATTATTTTTAAAAAAAACTAACTCATGGCACACCAAGTGAGTTACTTTCTGAGAGATCCTGGTAGAGAACATTGTCCTGAGTGAACTACCAGTGTCCCCTGCCTTTCTGCACATATGTCCAGTATTTTTCTGTTTCTTTTAATGTTGATTGCATTTAATGACCACCTATTGTTTTTCAAAAAAAAAAAACAAGGAACTCTGGTGGCATAGTGCCTAAGGCATTTGACTGCTAACCAGAAGATTGGCAGTTCAGACCCACCAGCCACTCACAGAACAAGACTGGGCAATCTACTTCCGTAAAGATTTTCCTCCTTGGAAACCCAATGGGGTTGCTATAAGTCAGAATCAACTGATGGCAGTGAGTTTGGGTTTTTTTTAATTTGGAATTATTTTTAGTCTGATTAAGTATTTAATCAAAAATAGAATTATTTAATGAGCAGAAGTCATTAAAATCTTTCTCTGCATTACAGAAACTAAATTAGATGATAATTAATATTTATTCTTCATGAGGTATGTAAGTGTAAAATCAACAATAAAAATCTACTCTGAACCACTGTCCAGAATTGATTTTCTATTTGCTTATTTATGATTAATGACTCCTCTTTACTTTTATTCTTCACTAAGTGCCATTTCCCAAGACTCTTAATTATCACAGGGATGAAACTAAACTGCTTGTTTATTGATAAAGCAATAAATAATAGTTACAGTAATAAGCCAAATCAAGCCCATTGCTGTCGAGTTGACTCGACACCCTGCAGGACAGAATAGAACTGCTCCACAGGGTTCCCAGGGCTGTAAATCTTTACAAAAGCAAACTGCCTCATCTTTCTCCCGAAGAGCAGCTGGTAGGTTTGAACTACCAACCTTCATTTAGCACTTTTTTTTTTTCTTTTTTTAGGATTTGGGTGAAGATTTACAGAGTAAATTCACTTTTCATACAGCAGTTCACATATACTTTGTCTCATGTCATTGACCAAAATTTACAATGC